CTGAGGTTCTACCAAGTGCCACTGTACTGATGAGATTGTTCACTAAAATACCATGGGTGAGTGAAGAATTGGCTTAAACTATCCTCAGATAGATCAGCTGGGTCCTCACTGAAGGAAGGGAAAAAGAAAATGGTGAAATCTCCTCAAGCCTTTCCTTTTTTGGGCAGCAGCAAGGAAATACCATAGCCTCTATTGTAAATTACACAGCAAAAAAAGCTATTTTGGACACCAATTCTCTACCTGGTTACTTGGAAAGTAACTGTGGAAAGTAATACACATAGACATTCCTTCTGACACAAAGCCAGTCGTAGATACTCAAAAACTACCAAACCACCTCACCCCCCAAATCCAGCCAGTGGCTGTAATTTTCCTCTCTACCACACAACTAAAAAGCATTTATATGGGCATATGTGCCCACAGAGCTTTGTAAGAGCAAAGACAAAGACAGAGTTATAGCTTACCAGATCCAAAAGCTTGATTGTAACCCTGCCTCAGGGTTACCTTCCTGTAACTCATTTAAAAGCTCATTTAAAACGAACAAAATTTCAAGGTACACTGGGTATTTTTTGAGGTCAGCCCAATGAAACTAAGTAATAAGGACAATACAGCAGTATTGAAGACATGAAATATTGCTAGAGTAAATACTACTATAGCTTTGGAGAGCCTGATGTATGGTTTATTTCTTGTTATTTACCCTTTCTTTTGATGATGTGCATTGTGGCATTTTCACAAAAAAAAAAAAGTTATTTGGGAAAATGTCAAGATACTTCATAGACATTTTCAGACTATTACATAAGAAGATGGCACAGATATTTCCTTCCCACAGAAATTAAACTGGTTCGGGGAGGAAACCAGTATTTCAACCTCCTGAAGACTTAAGTTAACTTTACCTACCTACACAATCATGAAAGCTGGGGTAACAGATCTGGGTAACCCCAGAGTTTTAAAATGCTACTGCCCCTAGCTATCCATCCTGCTGCTCTCCAATATATTACTGCTCTTGTAGCATTAAAAACAAAAGACAGTGCCCTCTTGTCCCCTCTCCTGTAAGAGCACAGGGAGGGGAGGGCTCAGTGCTATATTGCAGATACTCTAGTTCTCAGCCTGGTATCTTAGCAAAATGCAGTGGACTTTGAACTGGGGTTTCCATGCAGAGGCACCTGCTCTCACCTGCTACCTCCTTTCCAAGCAGAGTAGCCTTCGATATGAAACCAAACCAAAGTATCAGAAAAAAAAAACCAAAAACCAAACCAAACCAAACCAAACAAAAAAAACCACAAAACACCCCAAAAACTCAAACACACAACTGAAAAGCCCTCAGATAAGCAGAGAGCTGAGAAATTAATTTCTGAGGCTTATATTACTAGATCCCAGGCTCTTATGTTAGTGGAATATTCTAAAATGATGATTCTGAGAGCATAACATACCATATTAAGACTCCCAAAAATTTTTTTGAAAAATACTATTTTGTCCTTAAGTCCTTAGTACTATTAATGTGACCACTGAATAGGGCTGTTTATGGGTGCTATTACCTGTAATACATGAACTGAAGCTAATGCTCTTCAGAGGAGAAAGTCAGTAGAGCCATTAACAACTCAAAGATTTTCTCATAATACCTATTGTACACATTGATCTGTTTCCTGCTATTAAAAACCAACCAAACAAAAAAACCACAAAGAAGGCAAAAATATTTCATAGATGATATTGTCCTGTGAAAATGGACTTGAAGCCCAACCCAGTCAGATGTCAAGGGCAATAAAAGTCTAAGCTTTAATCCCTGGGGAATAGTCCCATGTAGCAGACAATTCCAAAGATGCAAAGATTCTGAGCAAAGGGTTCTTTGCAGGGAATTTCTAGAGAAAAGCTTTTATGTATCCCAGTTTCCCCTGGTAACCTCATCAGGCCATGGTCAGGACAACAAGCAGATTTGGTCTGAGAAGAAGATGAAATTTCCTTTTTCAGTGAATGTAATGTTAAGGTTGTTAATGTAAGAAAAACTGGAGTAACCTTGGAGAGAAAAGGGCAGACTCTTTGCCATGCAAGTTGTATCCCTAAAGAAAAAGAAATTATCCTAAACTTGTTAACTCTCTCAAATGGATTCTGAGGGAATCTGCCAAGTCCTACACTAACTTCACCTGTGTTCAGCTATTGGTGCAGGTGGATCTGTGATGGCACATGAAAGCTGAGCCTCTTCAGGTGTTCCATGGTGCTGGGTCTTTCCAGCGATGCCTCCCAACTTTGCTTCACAGCAGCTCTACCCTGTCTGCCCCAATGCTCTCCCTGCTCAGAGACAGACAAGCACATTCTATCACAGCTCCTTCTAGAAACAGGTGAAAGCTGCATATTCCCTCCACTTGTGGTACAGCTTGAAAACAAAACCAAAATACCCCCAAAGCAACCAAATGAAAACCCAGCCCCCCTACCCCAGCCCAAATATCCCACATTCAAATCCAGGAGGGTACTAAAATGCCCTCTGAAGATGTGTAAGTGTTCTTAGTAGGAATCAATCACAAAATATACATAGACCATCCTCCTCCCTTTTGTCAGCCAAATACATTGCTTTGGTAATCTAACTCTTGGTTAGAACTCATATATATATACACATTAATTGTACATACTCCACCTTTTTTTTCACTGTTTTTTTTTTTCATTTTTCTTTTTCTTTTTTTTTCTTTTCTGTTTTTTTTACACTTTGAAGCAAGCCATTCTAGACACTGGGGACAGATCATCCTCTCCTCTTCCAAAAGAATAACCTTTCTGCAGAGGCCTCTCCAATTCAAGTGGTTAGGAATCCAATACACAACAATCTTGCAGAAATCAGCTGCCAGATTTATTATTCTACCTGAAAACCCCCAAACAAAACGAAACAAAAAAACCCTCCAACCCCAAACAAAAAAGTGGAATAAAAATAGACTTTAAATAACTCTTAGGTACATTTTAGAAAGGGTTAATAAGTTCAGTGAAAGACCTTTTTGTCTTCTGCTGAGAGATCATGTAATGTTGGTCTGACTGCTTGTTTTGTTCAGTGAGTCACTACCGTATACAGATATATATATATTTTTCTTCTTAAATATTACACATTCAATGCAGTTTTTAAATCTTTTTTTTTTCCTTTTTTTTGTCCAACCCCTTTCCCAAATACCCACATCCTGCCACAGTCAAGAGGCGCTCTGTGCTGAATTAAAGAACCAAAACCAATCCAAGACTTTTCATCAAAGCATGTTTCATTTGAACCTTATTTCAGTGGAAACCACATTTGTTTTTAAACAATATTACTCAACATTTTCCCTTTCCTTTTTGCTAGTCTTGCAATTTTAGACTTCTTTTTCTCAGTTGATCACCAAGTTTTTAAGTGCCATTGAGACCTATGGATGACAGAATTAGGTGGCATACTAAGGCATGTATCATAAAATATGTTGTCTCATGGATATCTGTGTATAAATACTTGCCCAAATGCTTTTTATGCACCTGTGGTTTCTAGTGACCACTACTTCTTTACTTTTGATTAAATGTGTATTAAAATATTCATAACTTAAGTAGTGTCTTAACTGACAAAGGATGGAAGATTAACCCATCACCTAGGACTATCTCTGAAATCCATCCATTACGATGGAAGTTATTCTTGTCTTTTTATGGTTATGTATTTATTTTTCTCCCACTTCTTGACAATCTAGGAAAATGAAAAACTTCATATAACAACTATTTAAATTTCACAGGAAAATGTAGACCTTCATATAACAACTATTTAAATTTCACTGGGCAAAAAATGAAATCCAATTTTTAGCTCCTTCTCCACCCCTTCAACTTATGAATTATTGTATTTCGAAAAAGGTGCTCATAAATATTTTAAAACTTTTGGGGGTTTGCTGCCTTTTGTTTTTGTTTTACATATAGAATAGTACGTGTGGTTTGTGTTCAAGGTAACCCCTCTCAAAAATAAAACCATTTGAAAAAATAACAAAACGACCAAAAAAACCCCTCAAAATTTAAATTGTCTTCCGAGCATATCCGATCACATTTACATTTAGTGTCCAAAACAAGTTGATTGGTAACACCAGTGCCAGCACTACAATGTCATACAGCAACTTCATGGTATTCTTTGACAGTTCATCTCTGTTCCACCAAAAATTACAAAAGGTTCTGCAGAGCTTTCCTTAGCAAGCTGAAGCTTACTAGTCATTTGTGGATGCGCATAAAAGCTGCTTATAGCACAGCTATGGCGTAAGCTATTTTCTAAGCAATAAATGGTTCAAGTCATCTATTTTGTCCTGAAATGCTACCTGTAGTTACAGCATTGCTTATAAATGGTCATAGTAAATTCAGCATCAAAGAGAATATTACAGAAAAAGACAGCAGCAGAAGCATTAGCATTATCTAGTATTTATATATGTTATCAACATAACACAGCAGTAAAAGGTTTAAATGCATATTAATGGGTACCGTGTCTAAAAATTACTAAAGTACCTATTTAGTGTATTGGATATTTTTCTCAAGGAGTGCTTGCTGTGTCTAAACAGCATAATTAGATATGTGATTTAGTACAGTTAATTCCTATTGATTAAATAACTTATTTATGTACCAAAGGAAATGGAAGGATACAAAATGTTTTCTCCCTCCTGATCATGCTCCTGTATTTAATGCTGACATGATCATCAGAAAGCCTACTCCATGTAATTACTACCATCAAATGGATCTTGAAAAATCAACACCATAGCATGGGCCATATATGTATAGCAATGTGGCACCAGATACAGCATGCAGCTTGCAGTCTGAAGTCAGGGATTTCTCTGCTTGGTCACTGTACTTATGGCCAGTCTGTCATTAAATAGGATTTTTTTTTTTTTT